TGGGGACAGGGCTGTCACCTCCCTGGGGACAGGGCTGTCACCCCCCCAGGGCACCGCTGTCACCCCACAGGGCACCCACAGCCCCCCCTGAAAGGGCTGTCACCTCCTGGGGACACCCAGAGCCCCCCCTGGGGACACCGCAGCCCCCCTTGGGACACAGCTGCCACCCCCTGTATCCCCCACGCCCTGGTGTCCCCCAGTACCCCCCGCGACACCAGTGTCCCCTCAGACCCAGTGTCACCCCCCTCCCTGGTGTCCTCATAGTCCTGGTGCCCCCCGGTGCCCCCGGTGCCTCCCAGTGTCCCCCCCTCAATACCCCCCACCCACGGTGCCCCCCCGTGTGTCCCCTCAACCCCGGTATCCCCCTCAACTCCGGTGCCCTCTCAAATCCAGTGTGTCCCCCCCAGTGCCCCCAGTGTCCCCTCCCTCAATGCCCCCCAGTGTCCCCCACCCTCGGTGCCCCCCTCACCCACGCCGTGCGCCCCCTCCCCGGTGGCCGCGGTGCCCCGGGCGCACCTTTGCAGAGGCGGTGGAGCTCGTCGAAACTGCCGGGATTCCCGCGGGGTTCCCCCCGCCGCGGGGCCCGACCGGTCGCGTTCCCCATGGCCCCTACGGGACCCCCCCGCCCGCCGCCATCGCGGCCGCGGGCGGTGCCGCCCGGAGCGGCTTCACGGGGGCACCGCCGCCATCTTGGCTGAGGGCAGAGCGCGCCGCCCCATTGGCCGAGGGGGGGGCGGGGCTGCCGTGGAATGCGACCCCCCCGGGGACCCGCGGCCGCGCGCGGAGACGTTCCGGGGCTGCCGCGTTCCGCCCCCACGCGTGTCACGCGTGTCCCCAACTCCTGCCCGTCCCCCCTCCCCGCGCTCCCACCGCGTGTACTGCTCCGGCCATGTCCCCCCTGTGTCACCTCCCCGCATCCCTGGATGGCCCGTATCCCCCCCAGCTCCTCCTCGCATATCTGGACCCCCCATTCCAAAATCCACTCCGGTCCCAAAACCCATTGCTGTCACATGTCCCCCCGTCCCAAAACCCACTTCTGTCCCATGTCCCTCCTCGTGTCCCCTCCCCACATCCCTGGTCCTCTCGTGTCCCCCTGTCCCCTCCCCACCTCCCCGTCCCCTCCTGGCCGTGTCCCACGTGTCCCTCACGTCCTCTCCTCGTTTCCCCTCTGCCCCCAACCCCACGCAGGACCTTCCCCATGTCCTGGCAGGGCCCCTCGGCGCCCAGGGGGGACTCCGCCCTCTTGTCCCCGCTGCCACCACCACCCGCCCTTTGTCCCCAGCCCGGGGTGTCCCCGCTGTCCCCCCACGGGGGGGTCGAGGGTCAGTGACACGGTGGGCGACGACCTTCGCCCCCCAGCCCAACCCCGCGGGGCCATCGCGTCCCCCCCGCCCCGCCCCGCCCTTGGGGACACGGGGACAGCCCGGGGGGTGGGAGGGGGACAAGGGGCCCCCCCGCGATGTCCCCTCGGCCCCGCAGTGTTTGCCCAGCCGGGGGGGGCGGGGGCTGCGGGGGGATATAAGCGGGGCCGAGGGGCGACCCCAAAACTGAACCTGCACCTGAACAGGTGAGCGGGGGCTGGGGGTGGGACGGGAGGGGAGTGTGGGGTCAGGAGTGGGGTGGGATGAGGGGTGTGGGGTCAGGAG